AGGAAGCCGTTTGTGATACAAGATTACACACGTAATAAATATATTGTCAATTTAATTCAATAATCCGCATAATCCTAGATAAAACTAAATCTCAATTATAAAAAATCTCAATTATGCTTTCACTATGAAAAAGGGGTGGGATGAATAAGTGGAGAACTGCTTAGTTTCTCGCTTTAGATAGCTACACTCCTGTCTGGCACGCACGCACGCGCTTTCGTAGGGAAGTTCGCATAATAGACCCTAATCCGAATCTAAATCTGAGCTTACGAGATAAACAGTCTATTAGGGAGGACGGGACGTTGCAGCGAACCCGCTCAAAACCTTCGGGGGCCCGAGCGGAAGGGAGGAGGGGGTAACGGCTACATCAAAGGTATCGGATTGATGAGGAGATCCCCGCACTGCCGCATCTCGGTTTATAAATCGGGAGATACGCAGCCCTTTTGCAGTGGTCGTCAATCGCGAACAATTGGATCGAAATACTTTTCTTGGAAAATCATTGCGAAAAGATTGAACGACGGGGAGTCGGGCGAGAGATTTCGAGGGGCCGCGTCGGTTTCTCAATGAAAAATTAAAGGGGGGGTCGATATATCACGACGAGAGCGCGAATTCCGATATCATTGAATCGAGGGGTATGACGGTGGATAAATCTACCTTTCTAAAAAAAAACTTGAGAAAATTGATTTAAATCTGGCTTCTTCGACCCTAAATTTTACCCTCGCCAATTCTTAAAAGAGCCACTTTACCGTTCAGCACTGTAATCTTCGGTTAAATGGGCGTCTGCAACGTTTTCGGAATCGTACGAAGTTTCGTAATGAAATAATAGATTTGAATAAAATAGCTTAAGTCCCGATAAAAGTAAAATGCTTTTTAACGTGGCAAAGTGCTTTAGTTATATCCATGTATCTACACGGAAGAAAAACGTTGTTGAATTAAGCAAAATGAAGTTGTTTGAATTAAACGTTAACGTCACGGGCTGCCACAAACGTAAATAATTCACTCAATTGTATTCGCTGTGGATTTTCATTTCAAGCATTGAACTAAATATTCAGATTATTAAGACAACAATCTGATGTTTTTCATTTATTAATACTGATGTTGTTTCAACGATTTTATTTCAATTACACTGATCTTGTTGATACAACATGATTTGTTTCTCCGTGTATGTATTCTTACATCGTGAATTTATTGGTTCCACTTTTCGAGCATTGAAATTACTTGGCACGATTATATGTTATATCATGTCATAACACGGGTTATAATTTGCGTCGATATTCGCGTAGATTTTTTTTAGGGTGCACTCGATTTGAGTGCCGTTCACTTAATTATTGGCAATATTTCGTTATCGAGTGATACCATGTATCCGGATATCTACGCGATTGAATCTGTGGTGCAAGTGGTTTTAAAACTCCGATAACAGTCGGATATTTGATAATCCGGCCGTAATACGAATATATATATATATCTCGTTATACTTTCTATTATACAATAGAATATAGTGCATATGAAATTGCATACTAAATATCTTGTGTTCGGCACATGTCTCGTGTCTCACCTAGTTAAGTTTATCACGAGTTGTGCACACGTGCGTGCACAGCCAGACGGGAATGTCTGGACATTTCTATGTATTCTATAATTATAGAAATGTCCTGGCCTTCCTGCTTGTCTATTTACGTCTGACAAATAGCCCGTAGATCAGCGACAGTTATTAATAATATATCAGAAGCATTATTCTCTTTACTGATTGTGCAGAATTAATTGTCTCGTTTGTGCGATTGCAATCTCAGTTTTATAAATATTTTTTGCATTACGTCACATTACTTCACGTCACGTCGTTCGATAACGTAATGTCAAACGAATGAAAAATGCTCGCGAAGTCACTTAAATTAGAACGTGAAAATATTGCATTTTTCCAATATATCCTGACTTTAAATGCGACGGAGAGCTATGTCGAAACGCACCGTCAGGCATGTTAATGCTCTCTCCCTTTGGCAGGGAGCTATATTTTATATTTTATAAAATTACATTCTGTCTATTATAAGTTGTGACGTGGGACGCGAATTAATACGTCGACAAGTGGGCGTCGTATTCGTTTTGGCGAATGGGAAACACGCATATTCGCCGTATCGCTGCTTAACACCGGAGGCTATCGATAATTAAGGAAAGCTACGTAGGTGTTATCAAATTTACTGCCAATATACGCGCCGACGTGGGAGGTTAATGTCGCTGAATGGAGTAATTTCTTGTCGTTCCATTACAAAGAGCTATTACTCCAGTCTCCGGAATCAGTCGAAGTTGCGAACGTAAATTTAGTTCGGAAACTTGCAGCGCTTGTGGTTGCTATCGATTACGCGTATACTAAAATCACCGGAAGAAACCGGCGTCGCGACAAACAGGTAGCGTTCTATATTTTAAAAAAAATATCATAATTTTTCATTGAATTTGAATTTTGATCTTCTATCTTTTCGTCGGTTAGTAAAAAAAAAGCAAATTTTACGTTTACTTGCGAAGCGAAATTTCGAACGAATCGATAAATATTTGCTAATACCTTGAAGTAGTATCGGACCACTGTAGCATCTATTCGGTTATAATGAGGGGCTGCACTTGGAAGGCCAATTTTAAGTATGCTCCATTCAAAATGCCATTAAGAGCTCCGTCTCATTCGTACAGAACATTTCTGGGCTCGGCGTATACCGAGCCATCAGCTAGTCGAGGGCGGTATGATTGACGAGCCCTTAAACGAAATGGGATTAATGCGCATACAAATTTCAGACTCTCGGGGGAGTTCATCCCAACTCGTCGATAATAATTATTATTAATGATGAAATTAGCGAGCGGCCGCGTGCCGTTGATTTAGCCCCAAAACGATCCGTGAAAAATCGTGGAATTGGTATCCCCTACTTGCAGATAGTCTACAAAGGTAAAATTTAGATCGGCCATAAATTAATCAGTAATTAGTGATTCCTACAACGTAATTATGTACATTATATAATGTATATTTAATTCGCAAATCGCACAAATGGAGAGAAGCGGGAGAGATAAAGCAAATTCCAATTTGTCGTTAAACCATGTTTAATAGGTGGAATCAGATTAATATTTGCCTATTAGAAATTAAAAAATTAAAACTGAAAATTGTAAACGCTATTAAGTGTGACATGAGATTAGAAATTGATCTTAGTTATCGCAGTTAATCATTTTGTACTCATAACTTTTTGTCTTCGCGACAATAATCTTTGCAAGAGCATAACTGAGATTTCGTTGATGGAGAAATGGAAGCTCGATGCTGTATTTATTTAGTATTTTGCGATATCCGTGATAACTTGTTAAGGAGGGCAATCGACACCGGAGAGAGAGAGAGAGAGAGAATTAATTATGGAGCTAAGGGGTTTCCAGACTTCAAAGGACGCGAGTAAAGTATTTCACGGAAATGGAAATGTAAATGATGGCGTGTGTACGCGCAAATGTCAAATTTTCCAGCCATTTTGCCGGTTGTGCTAGTTAGAGATGAAATTGGCGCACGGCCATATATCGCACAAAGGAACTTCTACAAAACCGAAGAAACTCCCGCGCCGTTGATTTGTGTACCGCACGCAGAATTCAGCAAAATGTACTCTGTAACTTCCAGAGCATATTCCTCGGGAAGCTGTTCCCAGGGAAAATCATAGCTCATCGCGATTTCAAAGACGTAATCTTAGTTAGCGAACTATTTGCGGGTTGGAGAGCTCCTTCTCGCATATACACATCTTCCTGATTTAATCTCTCGCAGACACTATCATTTACCTAATTTCTGTTTTAGCAATTCAATTAAATTCATTTCAATTTTAATTATCCAATGCCTGATCCGGTAATAGAAATGTGAAATTACAAGTGACAAGAATCTCAATCGGTAATTACAGTATCCTCATTTTAATTTGCTTGGACAATTGCGCATAAATTTATGATGCAATTACTCAGGAAATTAATTATTAACCAAATAGAAAGAAGTTCATAAAAATACTTAATGCGTAGGTAAATTATTGTCTAGTAAGTTTCACACAACAAAAATCAAAAGTTTTTCCATTATTCCGAAATGTACAACGTTTAATGAGCACTGAACATTTATTTTCATTCCGTATTTATATCGGGAGATCCGATCTCGAAAAATTGAGGTAGCAGTTTGCTTATGTAGGAAAGCTTTTTAAAGGAAGATCTCCTTTTAGTAGAAACTCGATTATATTATTCTCGCGAGACAGAAAACGAAGGAAATCCGCTCGAGGAGGGCTGGTATAATATAATCTCGCTATTTCGCCATTCACGAATAGATTTGTTCGAGGTTTCGGAATGAGCTGAGAAATCGTCGCGAAGGTTGAATTTTCTCCTATAAAACGCTCCCTGGAGAAAAAGGACGGATACGGCCCCGCTCGTTGTACGGAGGGTGGAATCGGTTTCTCGGATTTTACGAACTTTCGACCGATAACTTGCTTCTTTACTCCCTACCTCTCTCTTTCTTTACTTCTTGCCATTCTTTTTTCCACCTTACTTCTCTCGCGTTCTTATGTCCCTCACTAAGGCGTTTGACGGAACTTAGAATATAAACGAGCCGAAACCCCTCATCGGTACGTCAACTCGAACGCTGGGTGTGGGGTGATAGATCGACCCTTTCGACGACATCGCGAAGATATAAATGCACACCTTTGAAAGGCTAAACTAGCGGAGTTTGCCGGAACGATTTTGCTAAAATCACTCCAATTACAAAGATTACAAAAAATATTTGCAATGCATGTAATCGATACGCGCCATTTAACGTTTAGTCGTGTTTTTGTCTTTCTTTCCTACGAAAGACACATTGGCAGTCACTGTTGCGTCACGATCCATGATTTACCTTCTTTTAATAATTTAAAATTACAGGAACGTGTCCGTAGCTTGGTGAAATAAAATTAAGCAATCGAAATAAAATGTTAAACTAAAGAAGGTACTTGCTGTGTATGAGACAGAAATAAATACGTCATTTCCACATGTTCCAGGTCGATTTCGGCGACGTTTTCATACCGTCTGACTTGAAGGTACCGAAATTGCAAGTACTTCCTGAATTTTCGAGACTTGCACACGGCCTCCGCAGCGGCAACATCAGTATTCTAGACAGCAAGACGATCTACATTCCAAATTTGCATTACGACGGTGGCGGGCCGGACGCTTATTTCTGGGTGGGCAATGGCTCAGAACCCAGTCGTTTTGGTATCAAGGTCCCCAATGAAATGGGCAGGTCAGTTGAACAATCTAATTAACCAAGTAATTTTTCTTTGTCTCTTTCCAACTGTTACTTTAGAAAGAGACAAATATGAATTAAACTAAGATTACAGTTAGGCGACGTTTGGTGAAGCCGGGCCTTAGATCTCTACAAAAAAAAAATATGAGGAATATACGTGGAATAAAAGATGTTCTATCACATAATTATTTTAGAACAACAAGTTTATCTCTATAGATTTTAGAAGCCTAACTTTTACCTTATAATCACTTTTAATAATACAAGTAAGAGCACTGGACTCGTAATTTTAATTTAAAACATTTTATTTAATTTACCGAGGCGATTATTAATCTCTAATCTAATTCGCCGACAGTTTGGCACCATTAAGAGGATACCAAGGAGAGGACATTGAGATCGTCTTGCCGGGGAACTTGACGGTGTACGACATCAACTGGCTCGCGGTGTGGTGCGTTGAATACAGACACAATTTCGGGCACGTTCTAATTCCAAAGGACCTCGACGTTCCTCCGGCTCTCGGCCAGACGAAAATTACGGTAAACCAAAATGAGTTCTCCAATCCGCCGGCCTGATACGTCCCAAAACTTTCGTGCCTTACGTATCCTCATTAACGTTCACTATGAAATGATAATGACGCGGCTCTGCTCTTTGATATGCATGATGAAAAGCTTCGCCTCAATGGAGATGAATTGAATGCACTGTGGAGAGGGACGTTTGTGTCTTTATATTTGATAAAATACACGTAGCCGCTAATATTTTAGATGCAATAAAAATCATCGTACCAGCAAGGATCTTACTTTGATCATGCTTAAGTAACTGTACAGTATCTTCTTGACGCGAAATGACATCGAGGATATAGATTTTGCCTTGAGAAATCCTCAATCTTGCATCTCTCTGACAATGTAACGAAACCATTGTCGAGTTTGTCGTTCATATTCAATCATTGTATACTTTTTAATAACGTTGCTCTTGATTTCCGAACGGAATAGCCGCCGTGGTGGTACAATCCAGTAAGTAGCAACGCGATCGACGCACGATTTTGTTGTAGAGAGATAATCTCCCTGTGATAAGGTCACAAGTCACAGGCTCACGACCTTTTCTTTTTCAGACGAGCAGCACACCGACGCCTAAGGTGAACAACTGCAAAGAGATGTTAAATGGCCGTATTCAAGTGCAGTGGCAGCTGAAGGGCGAGGACGTGCAGATTCGGGTCTCGGGACGCATCAACGAAAACCAGTACGTGGCGTTTGGATTGTCGGGTGAAGAAGGCAAGGCCGAGATGATCGGCGGCGACGTCGCCGTGATCGGATACAATAAACGAAACGGAAAGTTTATTGCCGAAGATTACTACATGTCAGACACGTCTCAGTGCGATGGTATGAGGGGTGTGTGCCCGGATGAGAGGATCGGCGGAAGGAACGACGTGGTGCTCTTGCGTGGGGAAAGGAAGAATGGCGTGACAACAGGTACACCTCTATTCTATACGTTATAATCGATGGCATTGCGATAGGAATGGAAAAAAATAACATATAACTAACTGCTACGTTTATTCCCTTTGACAAGTTTATTCTTTACGCGACTTAAAGAATGCTCGTCTTATATAAAATACATCTACTAGTTATATAAATTTATTAATTAATTATGTAACAAGATTTATGAACAATTTTTTATTAAATAGGTTCAATTTTATTTAACAGATAAGTTAGAGTGGCATGAACGAGAATATATACAGGAATTTTAGTTGAAAATTTATTTAAATACTATTTGTAATTTTTCATGTTACAACTGGCATGTACAATTATATTTGGATGTGTTAGCATCAATTTAAGGATTTGTTGTATATCAAGTAAATTAATGCTGCAATGTTAAGCAAAATCGTAAGACTCGAAAGACTCGTAACTTGTTTTTGTAAGACTCACAAGATCTAACTTGCGAATAAGTTGCGATTCTATGCGTACCGTATACCATACGGTCACTCGTGGAATATATACGGTACGTATAGAATTGCAGATGACGAGTAATTCTCTACTCGTAAGTTCTTATAAGTCTTACGAAAACAAGTTACGAGTTTTACGAGCCTTACAATGTACACGAAACAGGAAGTATCGTTAGTATAATGCGATTTATTTCAATTGCAGTTACGTACACACGTCCGATGAGAACCAACGAGCCAGAGAAGGACAGGATGATTCCGGAAAGGGAGACTAGCGTGATCGCTGCCATCGGACTTTTGAATTCGCAGGGCGAAGCCAATGCTCATGAGAGATTCGATAAGACTACCGAGGATATTCGTATCGACTTTACGTCGAAGAATGTTCACGACTGTACAAATTCCTTGTACAATATTCCGGATGAACCTGATCTTGAACCCTGGAAGCCGGCCGTTATCGACGATAAGAGTATTTTCAATGCAAGAATTGGGCCGACTGGTTCGAAAAGAGGATACACACGGATCACAGGTTTGATTATACACATATTACGACCGAATTATATATCTAATTGTTATCTGTTAAGTGAAACCGCACCATCCTATATTAAATATGTGCAGAATAGTTGATAAAATTTGGAACGTAATTAAAATAGAATTTAACTAAAAACTAATTAAGAGTATCTTATGAAAGTATGTTGTGAAAATAATAGTATTTTATTATAAAAATAATATCTGCTGTATTAATTAATTTGCATATATATTTTTTTCACTTATTCTAACGTTGTGTAAAATATTGAACAATACTAATATCTAAACAGTACTAGATCGTGATATACAATTTTGAAATTGTTTATGACTTTTTACCCTTAAAATGATTAAATAGTTTTTGAGGCCGAGGTCGATCGGTGATCAGTGATATTGCAATTTAGGTACACCCTCTTGGGGCATCGCATGGTATGTCAATGATTTGCTGATTCCGGAGATCATCGTGGAGCGAGGAGAAACTTATACCTTTATTGTGGAAGGTGGAAACGATCCTGCCAATCCTGCTAAGTAAGTCATATTTTCATTTGCTATAACACCCCTTTCAAAGTACGCAGTGTGAGCTCGGGGTCGCTATAATATAATGTTTCCAGTATGATTTACATTGCGAAACACATTGTTAGGCTTTTGTGAAATATATATCACTTCGATATAGATATCATCCATTCTACATAACTGACAATCCGGAGGGTGGTCTCGGACAACACCCAGAGAGAAAAGGGCAAGAAAGAATATTTGCTGGCGTATCGTATGAGCCTGACGGATATCTTTTCCCGATTGCAACCGGTCGTTATTGCGAATGGGTCCGCACCACGGTGGATAACCCGGATAATTACAAGACGTTTAAGAGCTTCTTCGAAACGCTCGAACTCAAATGCGACAAGGGCGAGCCTGCTAAACTTATATGGACTGTAGAGAAAGACACGCCAGACTTAGTTTACTATCAGGTACGAACTTATGAGGGGAAAGCTAAAATTTTAAACGATCACCTCTATATATATTTTAGTAGTGGAAAATCTTCTTATATGGTTTATTCAATTTTTTGAGAAGATGTTTAGTATCATACAACTTCCTCTTATTCAGTGTTTTACGCACAAACATCTGGGCTGGAAGATTCATGTCGTCGACCCGGGGCGGAGGCAGAGAAACATTAACGGTGTCAGTCAAGTTTTGCCTGCGTTTACAACGTTCGTGGTGTCCGTCATCGCACTTGTTTTATTCTCAAGATGAATCATTGCGTTTCCTTTTTTCAACGCGGAACAAATAACAGAAGACAAAGATGACGACGAAAACTGATCGATTTAAGATGATTGCGAGAGCCACAACAATGTACACACGATTGTTAAATCGACGAAACGCATACAAGGTTGTAAGAAAGTATTTAGTACGTAAGATCTACTTGTAAGGTAAAAGATTAGCAAAATATTTTTAAGACTTATCAGATTCAATATTTCATACTATATATATATATACACATACAAGTACATGCATACACATATACATGTATGAACATGGACGCAAAATTTCCATGCTCTTTGACACAAAGTCGAGCTGACAATAATGATTAGAAGTGAGTAACTAATGGAATTCTGACAATAATCATGATCAGGACTGAATAACCAATGAAATTCTGACAATAATTATCAGAACTGAATAATTAATGAAATTTGGACAATAACGAACGATCGTTCATTATTAAGGGGAGGATATGTCAAAACGATATCCAGGGACGAGCTAACTAGCACGTAACTATAGATATAAATTTGATGCGGAGAAATGGAGGTGCATCATCATGTACAATGTAAATTTTGCACAAAACTATAGTTGATCTTAATATAACTTTAAATCGACGATAATACGTAAGAAATACATTTATAAATGCTGTCGACTTGACAATAATACGTAGAGTAGTCAATCGAAAGAAAGAAAGAGAGAAAGAGAGAGAGAGAGAGAGAGAGAGAGAGAGAGAGAGAGAGAGAGAGAGAGAGGGGGGGGGGGAAAGAGAGAGAAAGAGAGAGAAAGTAACGAAATGTGAATTATGTACAAGAAAGTAAAGAAAAACGTAATACTTAAGGGTGATGTGCAAGTTACAAACTATCCCCTATACGTGTAACAATGCTATAATATGTATATACTATAGAGTGGACCTTCCTAAAACGGAATGAAAGTATAAAATGTGCCTTGGGTACAGATAATAAATGTCTTTAATTACAAGGATTATAGGACCCACTCGGCAAAAGGACACCGTCTAGTACTTCGGAACTGGTCTCTTGTGCGTGAAGCGTGTCGCAGTAAAGCTACGGCTTATATTTTATAGAAAAAATATTATAGAAGAAAAACTATCAACAAAAACTATTTCTTCAAATATTCAATACGGTCTTAATTATGCCGATACAGCTACGATTGTTAAGCATTGCATTCGCGTGTGTTTCACGAATAGCAAGAGTAATTCTCACAAGTACAATAAAGGAAAAGTAAAATTATCAAAAAATAAAACTATTAAAAGATGGCTTGTGGCAGACATTTCATAGGTATAACTCATATCGCAAAACGTACGAGTGGTATGTAAGACGTGCAACCAAGAGAAATCAGAGGAATACATAATCAATTTAGAGTAGTGAATTTAGTGTAACGTCTCTCGTAATGTCGAGTTTTAAATGTGTGTCCAGCTCCTAAGTGCCGGGGTGTCCGCGAAATTCGCAGCAGCAAATTCTTTGCGATTCAACCGCTTATCGCACGAAGACCAGTCTGTATTTAATTACGTACGTATATACACACACACAAGTATCATACATATACCGAACAGAACTCTTTGGAACTTACATTATCTAGCTTTACGAAGGATCAGGCGGTAAAAAAAAAAGAGAGAAGCGTTATATAGGGTCTCGTACTAATTACCGTAAGTAAGTAAATAACAATAAGAACGTTTAATCGATGTTTGTGTCGCTGAATTTTCGATATGACAATACTTGAGAGCAATCACGATCGATAACGAGATCGTTGCTCGAGACGTAGGCTATGTCGCTATATTTTTCATCCGTTCGTTTTTCTTTTTCTAAGGAAAGAAAGTAACAGATTCTAGTTTGTAAGTGGATAAAACTCCTACTTCTGTGAATGACAATAATAAATTATCAACTTGCAGGATTTATAATAGAAGCGGGCTGCTCCCAGAAAAAAAAGACCATTTTCTTTCTTAGATCAACTATACTCAAAGGTAACAAATTTACATAACGAATTACATGTGTACGAATCAATCATACGCCCATATAAATGTACGAGACAAATTATAAGCCGTGTACTATTCTGCAATAAAACATAAGTCGTAAGTCGCGTAGGTGAAGTGTTCCATTCGCATGATGTATATTTACAGATAATATAGACAATAACGTATAGATAAATACATCGTTCGTAGTGTGAGTACAAATAAAGTTTTACCATAATTTCAGTGTTTAACAAAATTAAGTTAAAAATATTATATGAGTTTCAGTCTCAATGTTAGTTCAAGTCATAAATAATTATCTTGTAAATCGTTATGTGTCTAAATTAATTTCGCGTAATTAAAATAAAAATTAAAATTACGTGAGGTAAAAAGAAACGCTAGTGTACACTTGTATTAAGTTTCAAGAGCCGAGCTTTATTTGCTTACTTACCTTACTATTTAGTTATTTCTCCAATTAGCCGGTGCGTATTTCTATTTTTCCATGAGCAGCCCCCGATATAACATCCCAAGTTGTTAGTTCATAAGAGACAAATAATAGCTTAGGTCCTAAGGGAACTTTTTGGCTATATTACTGTACATTAATACGTATAAAAAGAGGATAAATGACGTGTTTGTGGGAAGCGCCTCAGGAGACTAAATTCAAAATATTAGTCGTCCGGCACAGCATGAGAACGGTTACCGTCAATGTTGTACAGTTTCAAACGTGATTTCGAATTGTTAGTGGTACTTAGCGTGTAATATTTACAACTCTAGATCTATCTTTGAATTAATATAACTAAAACGGTCTACTTATAAGCTTCCATCCATGTACGGTTACTACGTAAGACACGTGGGGCGATAGAGGTGCGAGGTGAGATAGAATGAAACTTATCGCGTTACCATGTACGAATGCAATTTACGAACGCAATTTTCCATAAGCAGCGGATTCCGATGAAAAACTAGGTATATAAACATATTAACGATAGGTTTTACAAAAGAGTTTTGGAACGACGTCTTAGCGCATCTTCCGTTGCGTTTTAATTGCAATGCCTTTTTAGATTTCATACGTTTTTTAAAACCTATACTTACACGTGGAAACAATATCGCGAATTTACTCTGAAAATTTACTCCGATATTTGATAATTATTCACTAATACTACTGATTTATTAAAAACAATGGTATACTCCGATTATTAGGAAGTTTTTGCAACTATATATGTATCTCTACGTATTACAAAAATTTTTATCACAAATGACAAAAGAGAAGTTTTATAATTAGTGTAAACTAACTGTGAGTTAGTATCGGCTCTTATCACTTTGCGTTTACATCGCTATTCATTATATTTCATTACTTCAGCGTTGTATGCAAATTTGACACGATATTGCAAAAGCTTCTTTCTTATTTCCATTTTGGCTTCTCTTCTTCGCGCGATTATTGTTTACGTTTCAAAACTGTACAACTAGCTTAAATTTGTATACGCGCAGACTAATATTTCAGACAATATATTATAAAAACGATCGCTTTAATTACGAACGGTCTTGTAACTTCTCGGTAAGGGGAATAAATAGCCTGTAAGAGTTCGACATAAAAATTATTTTAAAGTTTGTATTACTTGTAAGCAAGGAACGAAGCGTTGTTAATATGTACGGAACGATGGAGTCGAATCATACCGCGTTTAATACCTTTGCAAATGTTGCGTCCCGCAGAAAATTCGTCTGTGGTGTGTAAAGTCGCAATTTTGGAACGGTTGCAACAACATCAGCGTTAATTATATCTTCCTTCTATATTACTGTACACGGAAAAATGCGAATTAATTAACTCTGCAACGACAAAAGAGAATCAAAAATGCTTTTCTAATCTCAATCTTAAAATTTACGGGATTAGATATCCAGTTTAGAGGAAAATGAATATTCCCCGACTTTTATTCAATTTTTTTATTTTCTTGAGCACTCGCTGTCTTCGAGTAGTGATGCCATCAATAATAAAACAAATAAAAAGACTGAAGGTTCAGCGAACGCCAGTCGATGTTGATGTATCCGATTTCTTGAAGAATGAATTGCGCAAGAATTGGTGATCTCGCGGGAAAAATTTCATTTCAGGCAGGACACTCATTTTTAAGCACTTTTTGGATACACCGTTCCGCATACGAAAAGCGCATCCGTACCGAAAAAAAAGTCAGGACATCTCACGTAGCGAATGAAAGTATTAGCCGGCGAACGAAAAATTGATCGTCTTGCAGGACTAGCGCGCGCGTGTCGAAATGTATCAGAGGAAACGTTGAAATTGTCAACCCTTTCGTTTCTCTTCAGCATTTACGTGTTAGGATAGATTAACTAACAACTAACTCTACTAATCGTCTAACCGTTTATCGCGGACACTCTATCCAAGACGCTCGTTTACCTCCTGTTTCAAGCAAATGCACGAGCTATACGAGTTCAAATTCGATAAAAATACTTGCAGGAATGCCGAAGGATTTTTCTGACAAGGCATCCCCCTTTTACCGCGGGGATGTCACGTTAGATAACGTACCGTGCTGAAAGATGGGAAATAACGATCTTCTCGAGTGTTCGAATCTATCAGATATTGTCATCAAACATGTTGAATTAATTTCGAGCGAATACGCAAATCAACGTAGGTGGCTGAAAGTTGTCTAAAGGCGTCCAAAGAAGTTAGATACTCAAACGCGTTGTAGACGTGCGATGTTTGGAGCGCTTGGAAGTCTTCTGAGATCTTGTTGTCTTTCGGCGCGGTCAAGATCCAGGTATTTGTCGCGTCTTCGGGCCTCCATCTCACGTACTGAGACAAAAATTCACGATGGTTTTCTCATATATGCATTAGAAAAACGTTATTCTAAACGATATCTCTGTAGCTATTCATTCCGAAGCAAGTTTACCTAGAAATATATCAATGCTCATTTCATCGTCGCGACCACGTAAAACACTTAATGGAAAGTCAATCCTTACTGTTTAAATCGTAATTTGACATATCTCGTAAGATAAAAAAAAAAGTCGGGCAACGTCGATCGCGGAGCACGCGAGCGTCGTTAAAATTCCGATTGTTTAGTAGATAGGGGACTTTGTCGAAAGTGTTAATTTTCTTTATATAGTCTATATGTAATGTACCGTATATTTCTCTCGGTTTACCTGTAGCATCATTTAGAAGGCGCACGCGTCCGATCTTCAAAATCAAAGCCACGCGTCCGAAGAGAGGGAAATTTCGGCGAAAAGAAGACTGCTCCCCGTTTCTCGACAGAAAAAAAAAAGCATCGTTCTCTTTGACAATAGAATAGAACACGCAATGAATCATATCACTGTTGCTCTTTGATGCACGACATTCGTTCAGACCTTTATAGAATGCGTCGTCTTATTTCAGACATTGTTCTTGCATTCCGCACGAGGATTACGTGTTTCGTAATCCTCGAAGTATCTGTTGCCATGCGCGAATTTATATTATGCGATCAAGATACGCGATTAGCAAGTGTCTGTCAACTGTAAAACCGAGTTCTAAGTGTCGCTGCGAAATGTATCTCAGGATGTTCTGCTCTTTTACGGACTATGAGTTTCGTCGCACGTTTCACATATTAATCTTAATGGCTTTGATAGCGCCACATTTATTAATAATTGGGTAAAAAGAGCATATCTAAGTAATCACGAGGTATATGATATATTATGATTACGAATTATTGAACATTGTATCAAATTTTATATTCACTTCTTGTGGTTGACAATAAACTGGTTTTATAAAAAAACAAAAGGGGGTAAAAAAAAGGACTCGTGAAAATTGTCCGTATATTTAATGCGACGGCGACTGCACGAGCGTTAGATCGATATAAATAGCGTGTCGCTGTACAAATAGGTTTATACATTAATATGTTACACGTTTGAACTTTATTTAGGATATCCCCAAGGGTCTTTCTTCTGGTCCATTAAGATGAGAGAGGATTCGCAGATCTTTTTGAATACCTCGCGCAATCTTTCCTTCGAAAATACCTATAAGGCCAATGAGTGTATTAATATGCATGCTTTTTATAAAATTTATATTTAAATATGTTACGCTAATTCGTACATACTTTGTACAGCTGATATTGGTCGGATGCAAGTATGTCAGCCAGTTGAATGCAACCGTCGTGCTCGTTCATTTCCGACATAACCGAGTGTAACAGGAGTATGACCTTAGGGATACAAAGCTCGCGCAGTTTTTCCAACTGATGCTCCCTAAGTTCCTCCTCGGCCGTGCACGGCTCGTCGTTGCTGCTCTTCGAATCGACGAGCCAGCCGCCGTCGGGGAACAATAAGACGTTAAATAACAATTGTTTCACAGCCTGAAAAGAAAACAGATATTTCGCTTTATATTCTTACATTCGCTTATTTTATTTTGCAGGGATATTTTTCGCGCACCTTCGTATGATGTTGCATCGTAGATTTCCATCTTTCGAATTCTGAGCTGTACTGCGTCTTTCTGTGCTCGTACGCAACCTTTTCCGTAAACGTGGCATACGCCGACAACTCTTCCGGTGGCGTAGGTTTACCGTGATGATAATGCGAGAACCATTCGCCGAAACCTTCCTGAGCGTCGAGATACGTTTTATAGCAAAGGTATTCTCTTACCGCCGCAGCCGTTTTCTTCGACAAATTGTTAGTCAACGTAAGATTCGTGAGTGTGCAATCTATAGTCGGACACTCGACCATAACCGATTCGATCGAATCTGATGGAATCTATGCAACATAAAAAGACACTACTGTTAACTATCGTTTAACTGCATAGTTTCCTATTATGAGATAGGCTCCTAACATGAGATAGCGGAGTTTCTGTTAAATTAATAGGCATCGCCTGTTGGTTCCACCATTTATATTAATTTATTGCCCTTGGAGTGAAATCTGTTTAGTCGAGAATTGATTGTTAGATCGTGTGATCGTTGCGAAAAAAGATTTGTGATTGAATTTGAATGTTGAAAACCTACCATCTCATATTAGAATCCTATCTCACGATAGAGAACTTTCCTGTACTAATCAGAACAATTCACATTGCAGAATCCTTTATAAACTAAAAGGTAAAAGAATTCACATAACAATTGACATTTAGTATCTTACTTTGTTAAATGCTTTCCGCGCCGCATCGATCTTTTCGTTGGTCAGGAAGTATCTAATGAGCGCGTTTGTTTGCCGTAAAGCTTCTTCTCTTTGACTTTGATAGAAGATGAGCCAATCGAGACCATTAATCTTTTCCATATCCGCCTCGGTAATAGTCCCTTTCAAGTCCGTTGGGTCGGATTCAATGTTTTTCTTGCGTATATTTTCCACCACTAATTTCGTAATCGCTTCTACATTCAGGTTCGCGTCTTCCGCAGCGTTCAAACATTTCTTGCGCTGTTCATGCTCTTTAACGCTCTCTAAGTAAGAGGCATAGTTGGTTATTTGATCCTCCTGTGGTAACGTGGCCGTGTAGAACGCGATTAAAATCGGATCACCCATCTCGATGAGGACGCGAACGTACGCTAGCAATACTTTGTCTTCCACTTTATCCCTTGTACTTTTCCCAATCTGTCGGAAGAACAGTATCAGATGCGCCAGGAATCGGAGGAACTGCGAGTCGCAGGCGCCGACGTCTATCATACTTTCGATCTCTTCCATCAATTTCGGTATTTGATCCAATATTATATATTTTTGTATCAAATGATCGGGTACGTTAGACTGGGCGCGTATTATTGGATTTTTCGACGCGTGCAATTCCTTGAACGCGTCTTCCAGCGAGATTTCATTTTTCCAATATTCCTCCGGCATAATTGTGTAGATTTTCACCATCATTAACCTCATTGCTGATTCGACTTTGATATCTAGAAGGCTCTTCACGTACGCCCACAATGCGTCCTGCCAAGACGATGCTATCTGCAGCAGTAGTTGGACATTGCCGCAAAGACTTGCGTATATGGCACGATAGAATGCACCTGTGCGTAAGTAAAATAACGTTCGATTAAACAAACAGTTTAATCTACAATGCGTAAGCCAAGTTAGTGTCGACGAAAAATTTTAGCATTTTGAAGTGCTGAGAAATTATTTTAACAAGGTACCCTACAATGATTATGACTGCGATCTTTTTTGTGGCGACATTAAGTATATTATTACCTATGCGTTTATCTTGAGATAGTTCCCAAGCGCACAATTTCCAAAGGCTTCTATTAGGATTCCCCTCGATTGGTAATTTAGTGTCCGTCAATGGATTATTGTAATTCGGATCGTGATTGGGAATCCATCCTAATAAACACGCGGCTCTCCAAGGTTGACCACAGTGCACAGCCAGTGCTTGTGCTTTCTGAAGACGTCCGCAACGTACCTGTGATACACATCTTCTTAAATGCACTTATACTTCTTTCACCTCTCCAATTTCTTACTAGATAGCTTTATATTAAAAGATTTACACAAGTTATAGTTATAAAAAATAATTAAAAGAATAAAAGACACTCGTTCTAATAACAAAATGAAGAAAGTTGAGGCCAACAATAACAGCTTTAGGTGACAATATAAAACGTACAATTTTTCTTTTGAATAATATAAATATACCTTGCTCATATTATAATATTATATTCGTCACCTGCTTGTCGTTATTGGCCTCAGCTAAGAACAACAGCCCATGCGTACCTCTATAAACATTCTTTTTTCAAGTCTGGTATCGTCCTCTCTGTCTAGATCGTGCAGTGGCCTACCCTCTCGTACCGGTGCGTCGGGATCAAGGGACGAGACCAGCGGCCTGGACGAGCTGAACGCAATTCCCAAATTCCGATTGTGCAACTGATGAACCGTATTTTCCCAGGCTACCGTTTTATCAGTGAAGAGCTCTATCGACGGACATCTGTCCGCCTGGTCCAGGGCATTCTTTTCTAGCCAGTCAATAATCAATTGATACTCCCTGACGTAGCTCTCGGACTTGTACAAATTCTCTATAACGTCCTTCTCGGAGATGTAATTGTTGCTCGCAGGTGCATCGTGTTCCATTTGCGTGGGCATGCCAGCGCTGCTTATGCGGTTCTGGTAGAGGCAGTATATCAGTCTCCACGTGTTCCTCTCGCTCTCCAAAGAACTTTCCTCTTTCGCTATCTCCGTATTCTCAACCTTCGACTGCATACCTACCGGACAAAGCAATACTTCGCTCGACACCAACGTTTCGCTACAAAGTAATCGGACAACGAAAAGAAAACAACTGACGCTTCCGTATCCCTCAACACGGTGAACCTGGGGTAGCTCAGTACAAACAAATACCAAAGAGGTGGCCAAAGGCCACGGTACCTCTCATTATGTCCAGCGTGTCGGTGCAGTTCTGTATGAAGTCCGCGATGGTGTCGAAGACCTGCGCCTCGGAGAAGTGCGCCTGTACGCTCTGCAGGAAGTCGTAGTAGAGCTTGGCCTTGGCCTCCCGCCACGGCTCGTTCGCCCGCAGGATCGCCCCGGTCGCCGTGCCGTCCTCCATCATCTCCTTGATGGTGACGTCGTTCCTCTCCGAGCGCAGCATTATGTCGCGGACCTCGTGGGGCGCGAGGGTCAGCGAGGAGTCGAGCTCGACGTTGTGGAGCTTGGCCAGTCGGGACACGGCCGCGGCCCGGTCGGCCATCCCCGGGCTCTGCGTGTCGCCGAACGTCTGCCTGCTATCGTCGGCATCCCGGCGCGGCTGACCGGCCGGCTGCAGCGATATCCTCTTCGGGGTGATGCTCCGCTGGCCGCTTAACCTCAGGAACGTGGTGCGCGGACCGTGCTGGCTGAGCAGGCGAATCGACTGGTCGAGGTTCTCCTTGACGTTGGCTGACGAGTCCATCGCGGTGCGGCAACGAGATCTCGGCGTCAGAAAGTCCAAGGCACCATGCGAGAACGTGGGCTCTCGCTCCTCGGGGCAGACAAATACGCCGGTACGAGCGCGCCTCGACGCGATACCAACGTTCGACGTCGCCCCCGTGCCGCCGACATCTTCCACGCGCCTGGGGACTTTTGTGACGTAAGGGTGAGAGGCGTTCGAGAGCGGCTGCGACATCTCCCCGCGCTCCCTCGCACCAGCCGTTCAACAAGTTACTTGACACAGCGGCGGTTGGAGCAAAACAATCGGGATGGACGACGATAGTGAGGTGAGTTCTCCTCCCCTCGAGGATGTCGGGGAGCGTACATCTGTGCGTGGAGAGTAATGAGCGTTGTCGGCTTCGTTACGAATAGTTGTTAAATCACTTTCGTCGATGGCTGTTGCAGATAAAGCTTGACAGTAATGTCCCAGGTAGCCAGTGCACTGGCTGTCTGGGATAATACGCTATATTTATTGTGAATGTTGCTTATTACTGGAGGAAGTTCTCTCTTATGAGGTAGCGGTTTTTCAACACCCGAATTCAATTACAAATCTCTTTTCGCAACCGAACAGATATCGCTCCAAGGGTAGAATCAGCTGACGATATACCTATCTGACGGAGACTCCGCTATCCAATATTAGGATCCTATCTCATAATAGAGGACTCCCCTCTAATGACTATTAGGAATAGTCTTGCGAATGTTAATCGGCGATTAATTGAAAATAGGCAGCGTCGCTTTCGTCCGACGATTCGATTTCGGTTGCGACCGGCGCCGCGAAATGCCACGAGGGGGATATGTCAGCCGAGGAAGCCGCCTTGCTGCGACTCTTGCAGACGGCCATCTCGGAGACGACGGAGGAGAGCGTCGTGTGTACGAAGGAGATAGCGACTTTACTGGCCAAATTGAATCTCGACGCCAAGGCGTTACCCAGCGACATAAGGGAGGGTTTAGAGAAGGTGGCGTCGATCCTGAAAGCCGAGAAACTGTTCGAATTCGACGAGACAGCGCTGCGAGTCGTCAGAGAGCGGAAGAACATAGAGGAGAAAAGGCGGCAGCGAGAGGAGACGCGGATGTCCGTGATGTACGATAAATTGTTTGGTATTTCCACGAGATTGCAGACGAAGCTGGATCATCTTCAACATGCGGTGGACTCCCTTGAGAGCGACGTTGACGGCACGGAGGAAGACAAGAATAGCGTCTATTGCAACAAGGTTTTTCTGTCCAAGAAACTGGAGGAGTACCAGCAGGCCGTGGAGAAATTGGAGGCGGATTTGAGCGACATGCACGTCGACGAACGCTACTCGGAGAAAATATTGGACAAGTACAGACTGTATCTGGAGAGGACGAGCTACTTGGCGGATCTCAACCAGTCGCTCGTTCAGTACGGCGACTTACCGCCGAGCTTGCTGCAGGCTAAATTACTGATAGAAAGCAAGAGAAAGGAGTACGAGGACTTGGAGCGGATACTCTTGGAAAAGACTCAATAAGCTCGAGCTTCAACGACGCTTAAGCTCCCCGCAATCTCGATATATTTTCAGTATTTGCAATACTCATCGTACAGATGCCTCTAATTTAAGAATAAAAGACTGTGTTAATTAAAAGAAAAAAGAAGTACAATCGCAGTACAAATCTTGTACAAGTCGCAGTTTTTAGAAACCGTATTTCGATTTCGTTTGATTCCGCGCCACTCTATTCTGTGCCCACTGATTCTTGAGTTCCAGTTCCATGGCTTTGGCCTGATGCGCCAGATAAGTTATCTGATGCTTCTTCTTGGACTGGGAGTTGACCCCGCCGCTCTGCATGGACACCGGCCTGTGCACAGTCTCCTCCGTCAGCGCCTTCACCAGCCACTCTCTCTCGTCCGGTTTTATGTCCTCCCCGTTTATCTCAATTATCTCTGCTTCGCCGATCTCCTTGCGCTTCACACCCCGTTTACCGCAGAGATACTCGATCGCCTTCTCGTCGAAGGCAACGTTGCCCTCCACGTCGACGTTGTATTCCTGCTCCGGAACAGGCAGCTTCGGGCCAACCTCCGCCTTGTTTTTCAGTAAGATCTCTTCCTTCGGTAAATTTATAATGTTACTCGTTAAGGTTTTGCTCGACTGGCTGCCCGTCGGAGTATCGGAAAGGGAGGAAGAGCTGCGTGTCTCAGGATCCTCTGCGTGTTTCACGAACGAAGCTTCGGTATTTGGCCTATGTACAAGTTCCGCGGACAATTCCGAGTCCAACAATCCCGCCGCGGAGCTACCCGGTGTATCCTCGTTCGCAGCTAGCCCGAAGAAATCTATCGTCCCGTCCTCTTCGTCGGAGCTCTGTTCGTTACGCGACTGATCTGTAGTCAGCCTTTTTATCTTGGAATCACTCGCACTGGATTTCCTCGGCGTCTTCGACCGCTGTACATTCGCCTTTACCGCTGTGTTCTTAACGGTCCGAGGTACTAGAGTATTGTTGCGTGCTGCCTCTCCTCTCGGCGGCACCAAGAGGGAGAAGAGTCCACAGCCCTTCTACAACAAACGATAATTCACCAGTTAACTCTAACTTGCTGCATTTATCCGGGGAAGATGTTGCAAACTTACCTGCGACGGTTGCACGACCCTGGGTGGTTTCTCCTCGCTCTCCTCCTCGAGATCCTTAAACTGACACGAAATGACGGGTTAACGCCGAGTGCAATAGGACCGAAGACCTGAATATATGTACGCGCATACCTCCGATAAGGAAGGCACTGATATCTTCACAGTCTGCTTCTTGGCTGGCCTCGGGATTTGACTTGCCGTTTCTCTCTTCAACAGAATCTCGTCCTCCACTTCTTCGACGTTGCCCGTGAAAGCGGGATCCTTCGGTCTCGGCAGCGTGTCGAGAAATTGCTGGAAATTACGGTCCGCGCCGCCGCTCTCTTCCTCCTCATCGTTTGTACTGTGCGATTGTTGTACTACTCTCGGAGCAGGTAGGGACAGCTTCGAGTTTACTTGCACGATATCGTTCGCGACAATCGGCACCGCGGGCTCGCTCTCGGAGCCCTCGTCGCTGCTGTCGTATGCCACGAGGCTCATTTCCGATCAGGAATACGTCTCGCGCTCGGCTTGTGTACACTCAAACGCGACATTAACCATCGCTAACCATCACTAACGGTGCTCTCAGATGCTCTGACAGATTTTTACCACAGTATAAGAAAGACTGTATTTACGTTAGATCAGCACCATTGACGCAGAAAGTCTGAGAGTTGACACACGGTCCGGGTTTAGGTAATCTAGTGAACCTCAATCAGTCTGGCCATAAGGCGGCGCCTGTGATTGGTCCGCCATTTTTCGTCGATTTGCGCTAGTTTTATAAAGCGGTAATTATTCAGTCAGAGAGAAATCTGAGAGATTTCTCTTAAGCCCGCTGCAGACGATGCTATTTTTCCTGCTGGATTGCTTGCAATTTAGTAAATTACTATCATTGCACTACTCAGCATTCAGGATTCCTAGTAATTTACTAAATTGCAAGCAATCCAGCAGGAAAAATAGCATCGTCTGCAGCGGGCTTTATTGAAAGACTTTACTTTTGGAACTGTTTCATTACGTATTTTCTGACTCTGCCAATAAAATTTCCACTTGGTGCATGTCTGCGCTATGCATTCGGATATCCAATTTATAAAATTTACATTGTCTACATGAACAAAATTGATGTAAATATCATGCAGATAATTTGTGTTGATGTAATTTTGAAATTCACAGCTCAATCCTGAAAAATAAGCGTAGCATGAACACGCACAAAGTGGAGACTAATATCCGTATTCATAGTCGTTCCTCAATTCTCAAGGTTAGTCTGTCTTTGTCTCGCTACTACGTTTTACCATACGCGAGACAAAGACAAACTACCCTTGAGAATTGAGGAACGACTATGAATACCATGGTAAAGGCTGATTTATGATGGCCGTAACTGTTAACTTATGCCAGAACCGGTAAAGTTCGATACTGGGATTTCAATGCTTTCGTTCAGAAACCCATTATGAACGAAAGCATTGAAATCCCAGTATCAAACTTTACCGGTTCTGGCATAAGTTAACAGTTACGGCCATCATAAATCAGCCTTT